GCTGTCTCCTTTGCATGCTCATCCCCTCTACTGAGCCACTGAAAATAAATAATAGTGGTGATGATGATGACGACGATGATGATGATAATAGCAGCTGAAACATACCAGGTTTTACTCTGTGCTGGGCACTACTATAAATTATCAGTTTTTTTAATCCTCAAAATAATCCCAAATCCATTCTCCAACCACCCACCAGAGTGACTTTTCTCAAAACCAAATCTGCTCTCCCACTTAAAAGCTCTGCTAAAAACCTTCTAATGGCGTCCCCGGCCACAGCTTGTAAAGTGTTTCATGATCTGGCTCCTGCCCATCTCCTCAGCCCCATTTCTCACCACAGCCTCTTCCTATGACCCCCATGCTTTTAGCTTCTCCATTAAGAACTCTAGGTCTTTGTGTGTGCTGTTCCCACTGCCTAAAATACTCTTCTTCCACCGCTTAGCCAAATACTGAGAGCTCTTTCAGGTTCCAGTTGAACATCACCTTTTCTGGGAGCCAGAGATGGGGGCTATATGTAGCATGGTGGTTATGAGACCCACAGTCTGAAACCAGTCTGCCTAGTTCAACTCCCAGCTCTGCCACTTCCTAGCCAAGTAACCTTGGGCAAGCTATTTAAACTTTCTGGACTTCAATTTTTTATCAGTCGTGAGAATTAAAGAAATCATACGTAAGGCACATTGCAGTGCTACTAGTGTCACTTCCACACTTCCAGGCCAGGTTAAGACGTTTTGTCAGTATTTCCCAAAACTCCTTTATAATAACGCCATATGATGTCAACCTCACTGCTGAGAGCGTCCACCTGCCCATCTTGCCAGACTGTCAGCTCGATGAGGACAGGGACTTTTGGCCTTGGTCCTGTCCTATTTCTAGTGCCTGGCACACAGTAGGTGCTCATATTTAGTATATCAACACCTACCAGATGATATATCCTGATGATATATGCTTTCCAGCAAACAGCCACTTCACACAAGGAAGGAAAAAGAGGGTACGATTTTGAGTAAAAGGGCATACAAGACAGGCAGGCTGAGGCTGAACGCTGTCACAAAGGCGAACGGGTAATTAGGAAAATACCTTTATTATTTTTGAAATGTTCCAATAGTCAATGTAAAAACCATGATAGTGACTTTTTCACTTCACAAATTATAGAAAATTACTTTCCCCATTCCTTACAGAAACCTCTCCCCACAATCCCCAGCAATAAGACAGGCTCCATTATGGCTGAAGCAGGGCAGGAAGGAGGGGCAGAGAATACGGCAAGTAGAACCCAGGCTCTCTGGGCAGCCAGGGGCTTTTCCTGCCCAGTTTGAGTCCCAAAGACCTGTGACCCCTCTGAGGCAGGCTCAGTCCACGCGTATGGGTGACACACTGAGGCAGACCTCTGTCCTGAAGGCTGACAGTGGCAGAGGGCCTCAGGCGGGGCCCTTGTGCCTGGCAGGCCACATCAAGGCAGCTTCATGAGAGCGAGATAGGAGGCAGGCCTGCAGTTATAATTAGCAGTTAGTAATTTTTAGAAAAAGACACTTGAGTTGCTCAGTGTTAGGTTTGTATTTTTTAATCAGTACTCTGACTCCTTCCTTTCTCATCCATGGTCGGGCACGGGGTTACAGCTGCAGCAGAATGCTGTTTGTTGATTTGAGAAAACTGAAAATGTTTTGTACTTACAAAGGTGGATGGAATTCAAAAACCGATCCCCACCGATTTTTATGAGAAACATGACTATTCCTCTTGAGCGTCTCAAGTCAAAACAAGGCAACCGCCTAGTGATTTATCGTCCCCACTACGCATTTTCCGCCTTCCAGAAGGCATTAGAGAAGGGGCCAACGTCCGCCAGGAGCGATTGTAAACATACCACTGACAGCTTGGACACTTTGTTTTTAAATGCAGCAGGACTTTTTCCTTTGGCCCTGATGGAAAAGCCAACTCCCTAGGGCTGTTTAGGCAGGAGCAGACAGGAGGGCTCCCCAAAACCTATGAGCGAGGGCTTAGTGGTCCCCCTTGGCCGGAGTGTGGCTGGAGCATCATCAAAGGCAATTGATACATTTATGGCATATGAAAATTGTCCTGTGGTCCCCAACTGGCTCAACCCGGCTGGATGCGGGGCACGGGAGGTACAAAACAAGGCACGTGGTGGAGGTGGTCCCCACTCCAGGCCCAGAAAGATTATCTCTTCGCACGATTCCAAAAGTGTTGGAAAGTGGAGGAGTTGATGACACTCACTATGAGCAGCAGCAGCAGGTACAGGAATATCATGACCGTAAACCAATGGCTGGAAAACCAGGACAGCTGGCTTGAAGCCCTGCTTAAAAGGGAAAAAAGAGTGATGTTGGCAAAATGAGAAAAACATTTTTTTTTAAGTGTATGCAACAACTCCTGGCTCAAAGATGAAATGATGAATTTCATCCTCTGAGTGAGCCATGAAATGAAGCTTCGTGCGTTCTCCTTTGCTCGAGAAATCTGAGGCTGTTTGCCCTGGCACTGACGCGCCTTTCACCAGAACATGTTCTAAATGTACAAAGACAGCTATGCAATGAGCTCATCCTGAGCTTCCCTTTTATAGCTGCTCCTCTTGAACCTTCTCTGTCCTGTCTTTCCTTAAGCAGGACTTTGGTATCTAAAAGAATGACCTCATTCAAGGTGTCTGCCCAGATGGCAGCAGGTGGCAGGTTATTTAGCAAAAGTCGTTTCACTTTTAGACACCTACAGATATCAGTCCGTGCTGGGGAAATCCTCTCTGGCCCGCTGGGAGATGATCTCAACTGTCCAAGTGTGCACTAAAGAAACATTCCAGGAGCAGTGGGAAGGAATGGAATTTTCAAATACAAAGAGCCAGACGGTTTTAAACCAAAGGATAATGTCCACCAGACTCAGGAATGCTATACAAATTCCCCAAATTTGACGGGAAGGTTTTTTTTTTTCCTGGTTTATGAAATCCTGAAGCATGGAAACCACGGGATGTACAACAGGAGTGGGAAGTATTAAGTGATCCCCTTTCCTGTCTTACTTGCTCACCTGCTGCACATCCCCATGAAAAGCTAGAGCCCAACAACGCAGCAAGATCTCAAAGTGACCTCGACCCTGGAGAACCCTGCACCCCCCCACCCCACTCCCACCACCACATTGCTGAGGTGGGATGAGGCATCTACCATGGCTTTTAGGAGTCAGAAGGCCTCATCTGCCATTGGGTTCAACACGTTCACTTTAAAGATGAAGATGGCCCGGCCCACATGGCTCAGTGTTGAGCATCGACCTATGAACCAGGAGGTCACGGTTAGATTCCCAGTCAGGGCACATGCCTGGGTTGTGGGCTTGATCCCCAGTAGGGGGTGTGCAGGAGGCAGCCGATCAATGATTCTCTCTCATCACTGATGTTTCAATCTCTCTCTCCCTTCCCCTTCCTCTCTGAAATCAATAAAAATGTATTTTTTTAAAAAAATAAAGATGAAGATGAAGCATCTCGGGTCCAGAGAAGATGGTGGTTCAACAGGCACCATGGAAAGTGACCGAGCTGGGCAGCACCCGATCCCAGCCAGTGTCCAACCACCACCCTGCCTCTCAGCGTAATCTAATCAATGGGTTTCAGAGTGAAACCAGGAGCCTAGGGCTGAGGGGCCCCACAGTCTAGGGCAGCCAATTTGGCTTCATTCAGTCCCTCATGTCACTTGTGTTTACGAATCTCTTTGTCTTCTTCACAGGATATATAGTCCTCAAAGGGCCAGGACCACATCTTTTTAAAAATAATTTTTTTTATTGATTTCAGAGAGAAAGGGGGAGAGAGAGAGAAACATCAATGATGAGAGAATCATTGATCAGCTGCCTCCTGCATGCCCCCCATTGGGGATCGAGCCCACAACCCGGGCATGTGCCCTGACCAAGAATCAAACTGTGACCTCCTGGTTCATAGGTTGACGCTCAACCACTGAGCCATGCCAGACAAGCCACGACCACATCTTATATAACCTTATCCTCACTCCTCACCCTGTCTAGCAAAGTGCTTTATATACTTTATACACAGCTGAGGCCTAAAGCTGGAGGAAAGAGGGTGCTGGTAACAAAGAACCCAACACTTTTAATGCAGCCTTCAGTTGTCCTCCTGGGGCACGGACAAGGACCGTCCTTCTTACCTCTTGGCCTGCTTCTGTGAGTACACCAGCAGGTACTTCACTCGCAGGAGCTGGTTGTTGGTGACCACAAAGTACTTTGGAGGGATGTCTCCCCCTTCACTGTGCTTGATTCTCGCTCTCCTGCGATCTATCTCCTTGGAATCTGAATAAGGAAAGTAAAGCACAACTTTACTGGGGGCGGGGTAAGGGATACAATAACAAAAGCAGCAAATTATGAATATAAATGGGTCAAGCCTCCTGGTCTTTGGGGTGGAGAAGCCCCAGCAGGCTGAGGAATAGGTGTGTGTGTGTGTGTGTGTGTGTGTGATATGCCCAATAGTACAGAGGTCAAAAAAAAAAAAAAAAAAAAAAAAAACAGGAGAAACAGCTGGGCCAGTGTGGTTGAGCGTCAACCTATGAACCAGGAGGCCATGGTTCAATTCCTGGTTAGAGCACATGCCTGGGTTGCAGGCTTGATACCCAGTGTGGGGCATTCAGGAGACAGCTGATCAATGATTCTCTCTCGTCATTGATGTTTCTATCTCTTTCCCCCCTCTCCCTTCCTCTCTGAAATCAATACAAATATATTTTTAAAAACACACAGGAGAATGAACAGAAAGACAAATAGGATAAAGAAAAAAGGAATAGGAAAATAAGAGAAATACCAGGTGGGGGAAACTTGGCTGAACAAGGAAAGCAGAGAAAAGCAGCAGATTGATGTTCAAAACAAAAAAATAATCTGGGCCCTAACTGGTTTGGCTCAGTGGATAGAGCGTCGGCCTGTGGACTGAGGGTCCCAGGTTCGATTCCGGTCAAGGGCATGTACCTTGGTTGTGGGCACATCCCCAGTAGGGAGTGTGCAGGAGGCAGCTGACCGATGTTTCTCTCTCATCCATGTTTCTAACTCTCTATCTCTCTTCCTTCCTCTCTGTAAAAAATCAATAAAATATATTTTAAAAAAAATAATCTGGGACGAGGAACAGGACTTGATCTGAGACCTGTCTCTTAGGAGGCATTTTAAATTAGCCATTCTGGATTCGAGCTTCTTAGAACACATCTTCTACTCTTTGTACCAAGGCTTGTTTAAACAAACAAACAGAAACAAAACTTTTAATGCCATGAAAAGCCTTAGCAATTTAAAAAAAGCCAAAGCTGTGTGACAGCAGACGTTGCAAGGTTTTGTTTTGATGTTTAATGTCACGGTTTGCAAACTTCCTAAGAATTATAAATGCAAATATTCATGCTGTCTGGTTTAAGAGGTTGGCGTCAGACCTGGGCCCGTTTCTCGGTTCCAGTTGTTTTACATTAGAGGCCAGGAACAGTTTTCTCAATTTTCCTTTTCTCTTTGGAACCAACAGGCCAGTTCTGGAGACCAGAATGACAGTTCTGTGACTCTTCTGCCTTTGCAGGCAAAACAGCAGGGGGAGCCGGGCAAATAATCTAAGGGACGTATTAGGGAAGTAGACCGAGGCGGCCAGCGAGTCGTCTGCTTCCTGGAAGCCTGGGGTTTACTGTCCGTGGCCTCAGTTGCCTCTCACATCCTCCAAGGGCTCCAGCACACACAAGAGCATCCTGGAGGGACAGGTCTAAACACACGTATTACCTTCAATTTGGCAAATATTTTCTGAATGTCAAGTATGAACCAGGCTCCCTACTGATAGCAGGTGTCCAAGCCTGACTGAGTCCCACTTCCTGCCCTCAGGAGCCCACATTCCAGCCTCACACACCCACGTTCAGCTATCACATCTCGCTTCCTCCCCAAAGCTCTCTCTGAGCATCTGAACCCACCGACGGCTCCGTCGTCTGATCTGCCCGGTGGATCCCCTCACCTGGGACTCTCTACCTACCACCTTATAGTAAGTGACATCTTTTCTATTGTGTGTTCAATACCATAAGGAGACTGCTCACTGCTTGAAGGCAGGCCCCTGTCCTACACTGCTCTGGACTCAGCCCATCCCTTAGCACGCAATGGGTACTCCACCCAAGAGTTGGGCCAACAGCGAGAGCCTACGCACCCTGAGGCTGCAGCCTAGTTCTGGGCCCAGGGCTCACTCACCTTTCTTCTTGGTTTGGCACTTGACATCTGGATGGTCTATGACCTCACACACAGCCACGCAGCTGAGGATGGGGCCAAGGAGGCTCCGCTGCCACCCATAGCCATGGGGGCTATAAATGAGGGCCAGGCTCAAGTCACTGGTGAGGTAGGTCCCTTCCCCGAACAAGGATGTCTAGAACAGCAGAGCCCACCAGAAAAGAAACAAGGCTGGGTAAGTATAAAACGGAACAGCAAGGCAACACAAGTCTTTCTTCAACAGAATTATAAACACAACATTTTCAAGCCTTCTTTTTTTCCCCAGTGAAAAGCATAAACTCAAATAATCCTATGACATCATTATGGGGCTATCGCTAAACACATTCCTATCTGACAACCGGGCGACTGTGGATACACCTGATTAGCCTGGCAAACTAGTAGTTCCTGTGGTCAAGGTTGAGTGAGAAAAACATAAGTATTAAAAGTCCAGCCTGGTGGGTGTGGCTCAGTGGGTGAGTGTCAACCTATGAACCAGGAGGTCACGGTTCAATTCCGGTCAGGACACATGCCCAGGTTGCGGGCTCAATCCCCAGTGTGGGGCATGCAGAAGGCAGCCAATTGATTCTTTCTCATCGTTGATGTGCTTCTCTCTCTCTCCCTCTCTCTCTCTCTCTCTCTCTCTCTCCTTCCCTCTTCTTTCTGCTCTGAAATCAATAAAAAATATATTTTTTAATTAACAGGGTGTTAATTAAAAAAAAAGAGTCCAAACAGACCCAAGTTTAAATTCTGCCTATACCTCCAACAAGCTGGCAAGTTGTAAAAACTCTTTGGCTGGGGGGTGGGAGTGACTGGAGAGAGGTCAATGGAGGGAAAAGGATACATATGCAATACTTTAAACAATAAAAAATTTAAAACAAACAAACAAACTCTCTGGGTCTCAGTTTCTGCATTTACAAAATGGTGATAATAGTGTCTCCTTCATAAGGTCGTGGATGAGGATTCATTGATCAGGACTCCTGGCACATGAGAGGGGTGGGCACGCCAGCACAGAATCTTGTGTTGTAGTAAATGCAGTAATTCCTGCTACATGAAATGCATGAGCATGGCTACACTGATGGGCTGGCAGAAGCAAAATAATACTCGTATGTACTAGGAGGGGGATCGCACCTTAAGGGGGAAGCAATCTGAGTCATTACTTAGAAAGGAAATGAATCTCTCAGACCAGAAACTATAACTGAATGAAGAAGCCTATAGGAGGGTCAGGGTAAGTTTTACTCTTTGTATTGGTGTTGACCTAGAAAATGTCCAAAAACCTAGAAGGCAGCTCCCTGGTGGTAGATGCTAACTTGGTGCCCTCCATGAGGAAGCATGCCAGGTGAGAGACAAGGATCTCAGGTTAAATACCTCCAGTTGAGCCTACAGAAGGCATAGCAAACAAATCCTTGCCCATGGTAGACATCAATAATCAACCATGATGGCCAACATAAAAATATCAATGATGGTACTCATTCACACTGGCTCAGAGTCCTTCTCAATGCGACATCCAGGTAGCTGCCACCCAGAGCAGCTGTTATTCTGAGGCCACAGCATCAGTATCACAAGACAATGAGTGGACTCTAACAGCACACTGAACATCCTATGCTTGGGAATTGAGAAATGTCTTGTCTGGTGGCACCAGACTTCCAAATTCTAAGCCAATTCAGTGACGCTTAAGGGATGTGAAACAAGCCTTTGCTCGGCCTTTGGAAAGCCCCGTGCTGGGTTAGGCAGAGTTCCCATGTCTTAAAAGCCTGCACAGACCTCTCCAAGGATACTGGATGTCCCCTGATCTGACCCCATGTCCATTCTCCCCTCTGCCTGTATATATACACCTTCTAGACTCGAGAACCTCAAGCGTGGTGCAGTGAGCAGAAGAGTGGGAAACTTGGGGTATCTCTACCATGAGAACAATCCCACAGCTTCAACTGGCAGATGTCCCGCTGAAAATCCAGACAGAAGAGGCAAGAGCAGACACTTTCGCAAAGGATTCTGATGAGATGCTGCTAAGTAGCAAAATCCCTGGGGGACTGAAGTGAAGGTCTGGTGTACAAGACTGTAATCTGCAGGCAACTTCAGGCTGGCTCTGCTGTGGGGGGAGGCCCGGGATTCCAGTAGCCTGGCCGAAATAATCAGCTGAAAGCCAGTGTAAACAAGCTCGTCATCCTCAGCAAAACCTAACTGCACTAATTGCTAATCTGCTGCAGCGCTGCTGGGAAGTCTCTCCTGCTCCAGGATGCATCAGCCACAGGTCAGCCTGTGGCCCAGGGTGCCAGCCCTCAGACAGGGCAGGTGCTGCATGACCAGAGGAAAGGCTGCAGCACTGCTACTACCCAAATTCCTAGAAAAGCAGTGTCCTTGGTGCTTAGTACAGGAAGACCCTTTGCATGCCTGAGCTGTCTCAATCCTCTCGCTCACCAGAAGGTGGGTGATGGTGCCCTACTGTACAGATGAGGACACTGAGGCTCAGAGAGTTTAAATCGATCTGCATAGGCTGCAGAGCTGCTAAGGTGGTCTTTTTTGGCTCCTGTCTGTACTCTCCCCCTACACTTCACAGAGAGGCAAAAAAGTGCCAGCGGAGCCCTAGCTGGTATGGCTCAGTTCGTTGACCATCATTCCATGCACTGAAAGGTTGCCAGTTTCATTCCCAGTAGGGCACATGCACATGCCCAAGTTGCGGGTTCAATCCCCAATAGGAGGCAGCCAATCGATGCTGTGCTCTCACTCTGTAAAAATCAATTTTAAAAAAGCTTTTTTAAAAAAAATGTGCCCTCAGTGGTTGAGTGTCGACCTACGAACCAGGAGATCACAGTTCGATTCCCGGTCGGGGCACGTGCCTGGGTTGTGGGCTCAATCCCCAGTTTGCGTCATACAGGAGGCAGCCAATAAATAGTTCTCTTTTATCATTGACTAGAGGCCTGTTACATGAAAACATTCGTGCAATAGGCCTTCCCTTCACCTGGCTGCCGGCGCCGGTTTTCCTCCAGCACCCAGCACCCAGGCCTTTGCTCCAGCCAGAGCTGCCTTCATGCCTTCGCTGCTCCGCTTTGCGCCCATGTATGCAAATTAACCGCCATCTTTGTTGGCAGTTAATTTGCATATCTCACTGATTAGCCAATGGGGGGCATAGCGAAGGTACGGTCAATTACCCTGTTTGTCTATTATTAGATAGGATTTTTTTTTTCTCCCTCTCTCTCCCTTTCCCTTCCTCTCTGAAATCAATAAAAATTTATATATTTTAAAAATGTGCCAGTGGAGAAGGGGTTGTTGACACTGTTTTTGATCTTTAAAAAGGGAGGACACTAAGGAGAGGAAGCAAACTCAAGGAGGGAGGGAAAGGACCTCTCCCTGGCACATCCCCCAATTTCTCCAAAGGCAGACTCTGTTGGAGTGACCCCTAGAGCAGTGTTTCTCAAACTTCAAAATCCAAAGAGATCACCTGGGGAGCTGGCCTGGGGTGGGCCCTGAGATTCTACTTGTCCAACAAGCTCCCAGGTGATGTGGGGCCACTGGTCCAGGAACCATGCTGAGTGGTGAGGGTTGACCACACACTGGGATCACCTGGTGAGCTTTAAAAGCATCCTGCTGTCTGGACCAGACTCCCAGAGAGGCTTCTCAAACTGCCATCAGTATAGGGATCACCTGGAGATCTTGTTAATATGTAGGTTCTGATTCAGAAGGTCCAGGTGGGCCCCGGATTCTGCATTTTCACAGGCGCCCAGCTGCTGCTGGTCTGTGGCCCACACTTGGAGTGGCAAGGACTTAGGGAACCTACCCCTTCCCACCCTTTACCCACTCTGACCCACCAACCCCCCCAAATGTCAGCAGGCTTAGGCCCCACCTTGTTCAGGTGGCAGTGCAGGCCATTGTGGATGATGGAATGGAAGTTTTCTAGGCGGCTCCCATGGAAGGCGTAGATTAGGTCTCGTTCTCCTTTGGTCTCATAAAATTTGGCATTCGCTGGGTCCGAGTACTCGATTTCAAATAGGAAGTCCGGCACAGGGACAGGAGTGTGAGGGGCACCAGTCAGCTTTTGGATCTTTTCAAACTTGAAAACATGAAGGGAGTTGAAATTTTATTTGGGAAGCTGGTAAAATGTGCTGCAACATGGCCTCCTAAAGCCTTGGGCTTAAAGTCTAATGGACTCTGTTCATGAGGACAACTGGTTTCATGAGAATAAAGACATCAACTTATAAACAAGCTCAGAGCTTACAGCTCAAGACTGCCTTCCTCTGATGTTTTTCCCAACAATAGGCTGAGAAGCATGCATTGTTCCTTCTAACTAAAGATCACTCTTAATTTTCGTAAGTTTCACATCTATTTCCTATATTCCATCTTTACAATCATCTCAGGAGGTAGAAAGATGTGATAAATGGCAAAAATGGCCACATATTTTTTCCTCCCACCCCTTTGCAATGTGACTTTTCAGGTGGAATTCCACCAAGATTCCATCAAGAGATGGAAACTATTTCACTGCCCCTTTAATTTGGACGTGGCCATGTGACTTGCCAATGGGACCTATGGCAGACAGAGGCTTGAAAAGGTCTTGCCCCTCCTTGTCTGCTGCTGGGAACCTTTACCCTTCACTGCCATGTGAACAAGCCCTGCTAGCCTGTAGGAGGATGAGTGCCTCATAGAGGAAGGCCCAACCACGGCAGCCAGCCCAGCTGAAGCCCCAGGCATATAAGTGAGGCTGCCCCAGATCACCCAGCCCCAGGTAAGCCAGCCCCACCCAGAAGGACCACCCAACCAACCCACAGAATCATCAGAAATAATCAGTGTTGTATTAAGCCACTAGGTTTTTGGGGGATGGTTTGTTATGAGGCAAAACTATATATAACTATGATATAAAAGGGTGAGCTATTTCCTAAGGGGCAATAATCCTCTTTAGGGCAGAAACCACATCATTTCAGTGATTTCCAAACAGGTAAGTCACAGTCTATGGAGAAGGCGAAGTTTTCTCTGGGTTGTGATTAAATAAGAAAAATTAGGGTGGCCCTGGCTGGTAGCTCAGCTGGATAGAGCATCATCCTGAGACACCAAGGTTGCAGATTCAATCCCCAGACAGGGCATATATAAGAATAAACCATCCACCCGGCATGGCTCAGTGGTTGAGTGTCAACCCATTATCTCTCTCTCTCTCTCTCTCCCTTCCTCTCTTAAATCAGTCAATAAAATTTTTGAAAGAGAAAATTTAGGGGCATATAATAGATATATATTTATATATTTTTTATATATATTTTATACACACACACACACACACACACACACACACACACTGCTGTAAGGTTGCCATGACCCTTTCTTTGGAAGAACTGTTCTCTATTCTAAGGTCAGGACCATCCTCTTTTATGTTAAAACACCCTTTTACAAAATGATGATATATGGTAGGCTAATGTCCTTGCTTGGGTCAATAAAAAGCTGATAATCCTGGATGCCAACACTCCATATTTTAATGGAAGTTAACTGGTCCATAATCCAAAGTCAAGGAGGTATTATCTTACCTACTTTACCTGCAGCAATATCTCGTAGGTGCCTGATGCCCATATGAGGAATGAATAAATCTCAATTTAACAGATGACAAAAGTGAAACCCAGGTATCACCTAAGAGTTAACAGTCCAGCCTGGACCCAAATATCTCCCACTGACTCCCTCTCCGGGGCTCTTTATGTTATTTTCCCTCCCAACATAGATGGATGTCCCCAGACACCAGAATCCAAGACATCAAATTCTATGCCACTTAAGGATTTCCGTCTTTAGCAGGAGCTTGTAAAACTGAATGCTCTTAAGTTAAAATGGATGAATTAGGTGAAGAACAGTACAGATAAGCCCCTGCTGCCTCTCAGAGGAAAGAGCACCAGACTGAGGATCTGCCATCACACACTCTGGTCCGTGTTATCCCAGTGTGTCCTGGGAGATCTGGCCAGGCAAGGGACACCAAATTACAGAATGTCTGGTCAATGCCCAAAACTATACTGGGAGTGACACACACTCCGTTATAGCTCCCCTCTGAGGTACCTATTAATATTCTCAATTTACAAATGGGGGAAGGAAGACCCAATTATGGGTAGAAGTGGAGTTCAGTTTTATAAAATTAATTTTTAGAGAGAGAAGGGAGAGGAAAAAAGAAACATCAATGCTGAGAATCATCAATTGGCTGCCTCGTGCACACCCCCTTCTAGGGATTGAGCCCACAAACCAGGAATGTGCCCTGACCAGGAATCGAATCAGCAACCTCTTCGGTGCATGGGTCAATGCTCAACCACTGAGCCACACCGGCCAGGCATGGTGGAAGTGGAATTTAAACCCAGAGCATGAGGTTTTCCAATACTTCAGGCTCTGCCTCTCTGTTTCCTAACACCTGGATTAGGCCCATGTTTCTTAAGGTGTGGTCAAGGGCCTACCCTTATCAGAATTACCTGGGCTGCTTGTGATACCCAACATGTATAGAGCCCTTAGCATGTGCCCTTACATACTGTTCTTAGTGTGAAAATTCATTCAGTTCTCATAGCCATTTCCCTGATGGAAGTATACTATTCGCATCCCCATTTTATAGATGAGGAAACTGGGGTGCTGAAATGTACCAAGAAACCTGCTCAAGGTCACACAGCTAGTAGGAGGGAGAACACAGCTTTGCACTGCCAGTGTGTAAGTTCCTGGGCCCCACTTCAGACACAGAATCAGAATCTCTGGGGCAAGGTGCAGGAATCTGCATTTGCAATAAGCTCCCCGGGTTATTTGGTGCACAAGGAGGTCCTAGGAACCTGTGATCCTACAGATCAAAGTCTCACCTCTGACTTCCCTGCACTGTGGACTGTCAGGACCTTAGAGGATAAAATCCAGCTCAGCAGGTCCCAGGCCCGTCTGTCTTTATCTTCAGAGGACTGGAGAAGCTCTTTCAGGTTGGGTAACTTGCTGGCATCTGCAAGCTGAATTGAGGAAAACCTCCATTAGCAAGGATCCTAGACAAAATGAGAAGCAGGAGCCCTCTAGTGGTGAGACAGCAACCTGCACTTCTTCAGGTCATGAATTTCCTAAGAGAGACATGTACAGATCTATGATCCCCTTTCCAAAGAACATCCAACTCCAAGTGCTCCAAACACTGCAAGGTTTTGTAACTCATTTGGTACAAAACCTGACCTCAACTGATATGAGGATCGTTCAATCTTTATTTATCCCACTTCATGTTACATTTTGCTGTAGGAATATTAATTCTGATCATGAGATGCCACCTCAGCTGGAGGTGTTTTATCAAATACATGATATATACGCGGGTGGGTGAAGGGTTAGCAAAGCATGAGAAAATGGCCTGCAGTTAATTTCCTGTCAGCCTGTTTCCCTGGAGGCTGGATAAAGGAAGTATGGCAACTGCATACATAACCAGGCAAGGCTGCTTATGGTAAAAATGACCCAGAATAGTAAGCGGCACCTACACTGGGAGAAGCTACAAGTGGGGAACCCATGGTTTGAGGTTTCCCTGAAAGTGGTGACTTTTTGTGAGGCCCTGGCAGCTATGTCTATGGCGTGCTTACAAGAGAGACCGGTCTCTGTAAAACATGGGGCTTCATTCGGCCAAAGCAGTTCCTACACCCACCCGACATGAACCTCTTTTTACACGAGCTGTCACCCTAAGGACAAAGCCTGGATCCTGGAACTCTGTGTGGACTGCTCCAAGAACTTCAGTACAAACAGAACCCCTGCTGTAAGTTGCAACCCGTCCTAGGGCCTTCCGATTTAGGCTGGTGCCCGTGTGGCCCGCTATAGATGCCAGTTTAGTTGTATCGTTACACCACATTATTGCCTTTGTAAAATTGGGTAGCATCTGAATTCTGAAACTCATTTGGTGCCAGGTTTTCTGTTAAGGGACTGGGGATCTGGATGGACAGATAGCTACAAGGTAACTGTAGCTTTTGCTCAGAAATGATGACTAGAAAGCAAATCTCCCTAGCATGGTTTTTTAAAACATCACCGTACACAGGTGCCATCTGTGAACATTCCTTGGGTTGTACCACCTCCAAAGTTTGCTCACTCGGTCCCCTGGAATGCCCCTTCCCCTACTTCTACCAACCCAGGCACCCCTTTCTCTAAACCCCTACAGCATTCATCCCCTTTCCTCTCTCTCCCCAGTATAGCCAGGATTCCTAGAGGCCAGGGACAATCATGTATTTTTCTAATCCTCCACTTTCCTGGACATAGGGGGGAAAGCAGACAGATCTGGGTTTGAATCTCTGCTCCCCTACCTTTTTATTTTTATTTTTAGAATAGTTTACTGATTTTTTTTTTTTTAGTTTACTGATTTTTAGAGAGGAAGGGAGAAGAGAGATACATCAATGTGAGAGTGTAACATCCATCGGCTGCCTCCTTCATCCCACTTCCCCACCCCGCAGCCCCCTTCCCCAGGGTGTCTTTAAACAAAGCACCGGACCTGTCTGACCTCAATCTCCTCTCTAACATGGGAAGCCCACTATCTCCATATCAGGTTGACAAGAAGATTAAAGAAAGTAGCAGAATATCAGAGCCTGGTTTATATATGTTCATTTCTTTTCTTTTCTTTTTTCTTATATTTCAACCTGAAAACACTCCCAAACACACTTTTACTGGGGATGTAGCTGGTGCTTCATGAATATCAGTGTGGTTTTTCCATTTACAACCACTGATGATTTTTTTTAACTCTGTACTTGAAAATGAGAAACATTTCAGGGCTGCTTTATTCCTCTCTCTTCCAAAGATTCAATCAATAGCTTCAGACTTCTAATAAAGCTACCTGTACATGTCTCGTGAGCATTAGTTTTTAACAAGCACATGAGCCCTAGCTGGTCTGGCTCAGTGGATAGAGTGTCAGCCTGCAGACTGAAGGGTCCCGGGTTCAATTCCGGGTTCAAG